TTTTGTGTTTCGATCTTGTTCTTTTATTGGTCTTAAAGCGATTCGATTTTACTTTCGACTTTTTCTTGTTGCTAATAAAGTTACCTGGAAGAAAGAATACTGCAGGGAGTGGCTGTGCAGTATGTTGTGACAAGATGCATGAATTCCGTTGACAATAATATCGCCGGTACCTGTCATCGGGGCGAAAATTCCTTTCTCCGTCACCCAGTCTACAGCAACAACTTCTACCTTCACAAAGTACGGATTTTCCTGACAAATGAAATTATCTGTTTATTTTTAACTGCATGGGAGCTTCTTCGAGTTTATTCTCTGCTTACAATTTCTCTGATCATTAGTAAGCGTGATTTTCCAACTATATGACTGAACAACTTAATTGTTAGGGCTTTTCTAAGAACAACGTTTGTGCAGCTTTTTTTCGAAAATTGTGAACTGATGCAATGTTGGTAAGCAATTAGGTGGATGAGAGGATTACTCGCCTTGGATTCTGAAATATAATTAACTTATACCAAGATCGCTAGGGCCACTAGTGTGGGTATTTCCATGTTAGTGATGTTATTAGAATGCTCCTATACGTCACGCAACTAGTTAATAATTAATCATATATACGTGAAATCCTAACAGCTCCAAGCATTTCCAGAAGACACTGCACCACGTTTGTTGGCCTATGCGTGGGAGTACGAACCAAGGTCGATCAACCAACAGCTGATAACGCAGCTTAGGTCAAGAAGCCATGCACCCAAAAAACGGAAATGAAAACAACACAAGCTTTTTTATCGGAAATGACACAAACATAGAATCATCCTGCAGCAGCGCTCATCTCTGTGCAGTCTTCAGTTGGAAAAGAGCTGCCGGCTGCGCAAATTTCACAGCATCATCATTATCCTCGAGGTGCCGAACTAGAAGGATCTCCCCATTTTTTCAGTATCTTCGTATTAAAGGTAATGTTGCAAAATGCGGATACTCACGGATGTTGAAAAACGAGCGCTGATTGTGACAGAGAAAGCGATGAATCTAAAGACTCTTGACGTGTCTTGTATAAAAAACCAGACTCTCATGAGCAGTGTGCAGATTCTCATTACGACCAAGCGAAAAAGTAAAATCTAGTGAGCTGGACATGTTGCTCGCTTTGTCGACAACCGGTGGACAACCTGCATTAGTAAATGATATCAGGAGAAAGCAAAGGACGACTTGGACGACTTCCAGAGAGGGATTTCACACGGTTTATATCGAATGAACGATGGGCTATGTGGAAAAGATAATGTCTGAGAGCCCCACGTTGATTTTGGACAAAATCACTTCAATAATTGTTCAGCAAAATTCACCTCGACATTCCTTACTCTGTACAAGCAGTCGCCAATATTCACGTTCGTTGCCCATTCAGCTTCATCTTCTATCGTTTCAAAATCCACTTTTTGCTCAAGTACTGTAAAAAACGATTTTTCAGATTTACTGAACGTATACTAAATTAATTTTTTTTGCGACTAGCCGCTTCATGGGACAGTGAAGTATTTGCATTACTTCGTAGACTCAGCTATGAACTCCAGTTTATGTAACAACATGAAAATTTGCAGCAAAATTAAACTGCCCTAATCCTATTTTCATGCTCAGTATCGCTAAAAGTGAAAGAAAAGGAAGCTGCCAGCAAGATGCACAAAACAAGCTTCGTCAACAAGCCAAGTACCCATTCCGGGGGTAAATGAGTGAAGAAACCATACGATTATCACATGTTGTTTTGTAGATGTAGTGCTTTGCAGTGAGCTTCAGCTGACTGCCGTCTTTCAGGATGATACGATAGAAGTTCACTTCTTTGTCTGGTAGTCTGTGAAGCCAGGACGTTATTTGTGCAAATGTTATCTGTAAAAAAAAACGCCTCACCAATATGTGGAAAAAATATGTGAGGAACTCTTTAATATGATAGTTCGGATAATGATTTTGTTGCGACGTTTTCCGGTACCTGAATTTTTCTTCCTATACAAGAAACCAGTTTGGGAAGTATTTAAGCTTTTAGTCAAAAGTACAAGAACAAAGCGAAGATTTTGCTGCAAATACACAGCACCGCACACTGGGCGCTTGAAATGGTTATTCGCTT